GTTCCCCTATTATGCTTTTTTTTATATACTGTATTATATATTACATGCTGTGGGTAATATAGCTGCTTGTGAATGTAAAAGGTCTGCACATTTTTAAAGATCAAAGTGCATGACAAATAAAGTTATTGTCTCCTAAAAGAAATAATCAATTCTGAACTACTGAAATGAGTGATCAGCAATTCTAGACTCAGTTCCTGTTACATAACTACAAAACAACGTAACACGCTTGCATAATGCCAGCCTATGGTCTTCATTAGCTATGTTTCCATCCAAAGTTGCGAATTTACCTTATGCTCAAAATTGGAATAGAACAAAACATAAACATTCGCGAATAAAGCACCGTTTGTATCCAGTCAGTCGAAGTAACACAATCGCCACTTCCTGATAAACTGGTGATATATATCACAAAAAAATGGAAGTTGATGCAGTAGGAGAAGCCACTATATATACACATATATATATATATATATATAATGTTCGTATAAATAATATAGGCTATTACTCCTCAGAGTGCGCAGATAAAACACAATAAACACGTTCATGGTAACTTGCTTTCTGAGGCAGATGCCTGCTGTTTGGGAATGCAGTTGTTTAAAACAGTTTTGGGAGGAAATTACACCGAACCACTTTGACGACAGACTTTGCTTAGGCATTTCAGAATGAACAAAAACAGCATTTCAGATGCTGTGCAATGAGATCGGGCCACTGGTTGGTCCAGTTATGCCGTCCCATCCCAAAGTCACGTGTCTTTTTAGCGGTCATTGAGGAATCTATTCGGTAAATGTGTTTCCATCGGAGTTTATGCGCATGTTTTCTTATCGGATACATTTATCCGACTTTTTAAAATGTATGCGCATCTTGGCTTTTCCATCCAGCCCACGAACAACGTCTACTTTGACCCGCCCTCAAACCGTTGTAGATGGCGTCAGGAAGAGTTTGGTTTATGTTGTCGCTGTTTCAACGCTGTGAACCCACTTTGCATGCACTTCAAAAGGATGACATGAGGACTCGCGCTGGAATTGATGCAATAAAACCAATATTGTTCATGTCACCATGCACAAATCAGAGAAGAGTAGGTTCATGGAAAGGAGGGGTTTAGAGAGACTGAATCTTCGAACGAACCATTTCAGACTCTTTGAGACATGAGGTGACGTGCAATGTATAGAAAATGAAAGTGTTTTTTGACCTTGGATGCATGTAAACCTGTTGTAGGAGACCTCCAAAATAATAGCATAATAGGGGCACTTTAAAGGTTTTATTTTGCTATAATATTTGCACCTATCACAGATATATATTCAAATACAATTATAAGTCAAATGTTGTGGCACTTTCAAAACTTAGCTCTGTTTGAGTATCCTGACATAGCAACAATGACTAAACCAAAATGGAGCTTGCGGATGGAATATCATTAGGACCGTCCCAAAAAAACCCCGATAATAATTAGCATTTAAAATGTTATGTCATTATTTTTGCTAATCTGTTTGGTGATATTAATATATAGCTCCTCCGGCATTAACGTAAATCTCACCAATCTAGTGTAGAGCTGCTAAACCGTTATTATCTAGAATTGGTCATACTTCATATCAGATTAATTCCAAAATCCATTTATCCAAATATTTGCCTTTCCTTTGTTATGATAATAACAATGTACTACCTAAAGTCCTATCAAACACTTCAGATAAGGCCATTATAATACAATCTGTTCATCAAGAAAGAAAGAAAGAAAGAAAGAGTTCGGGTGTTATATTGCAATTTTCTATACTATGCAGTAGTGACTTTCCTATCACCTGTCTAACTATAATTTGCACTGATTCTTGTCATCTCCATAATCTCTCTTACCAAGAATCAAAGAATGTTGTAATTATGGCTATTAGGAAAGACTCTTTGATGTAATCGTTTGATGTGATATTACTGTCTGCTCTCATTAGTCAGGCTTGTCAAGTTCATTCTCTGTTACGCTCACCTTAATGTTCGTCTCATAGTGTTGTAAGTCCACTTACAGTTACTCTCTGTCCAACATCAGGTCTGGTTAATTAAATACAGCCTTTTATTTCTCTCAGAAGGCAATTTGTTTTGCAGCTGGCTTAACAAATTAAATCAAGTGCTAAGCATTTAAAAAGCACAATATTCAGATATTTATAACATCAGCTAAAACTGAAATTACTATCACATGTGTGTACGTGTGGGAGAGAGAGAGAGAGAGAGAGAGAGAGAGAGAGAGAGAGAGAGAGAGAGAGAGAGAGAGAGAGAGAGAGAGAGAGAGAGAGAGAGAGAGAGAGAGAGAGAGAGAGAGAGAGAGAGAGAGAGAGAGAGAGAGAGAGAGAGAGAGAGAGATGGGCTTTGGAGGGCAGCATTTGAAGGCTCTTTTTTTGCAGCTGCATAGGTAAAATCCTCTTCAGAACAGACTAAAGGGCTCTGAAGAAGACAACAGTTTAATCTTGACATGTTTTTGCCCACGGGTGCTTAGGTCTGTTGAAGAACACTGCCCTTTTAACTCCTTAATTACAACGTCTTGCATTCTGCTCTATATTACTACATGTTTAGCCTGTATTTTTAATTTAATGTACTATAATTGAACAATCTGAATGTCCTCGACAAGTCTAATGGCTAATGACACCAAATAATCAATCTGTTTCTGAACTTTTCAGACCAGATTGATATCAGTACACGCAATGCTGTGTAATGCTGACCTCTAGTGTTAGAATATGGCACTGGATTCTAATTACGTTTAAACATATAGATGTGTTTTTATTTTAATTATAGATGTGGCAGTTGTGCCCAGTGCTCGTATACGCATAAATGCAAACATTTTAATCATCCACACACTGGTAAGACATTATCTATTCGCGGTACTATTACATGTAGCACCACACATGTTATTTATTTAATCAGTTGCCCATGTGGTTTATCATATGTTGGTAAAACAACGAGAGCGCTACGGACCAGAATCAGTGAGCACAGAAGTACCATCAGAAAAGGAGATGAACGTAGTCCTGTCGCCGCTCATTTTAAATCAGCTGGCCACAATGTCAGCGCCCTTAGATACATCGGGGTGGAGCGGGTCAATAAACCGTTTAGAGGAGGAGATCATGGTAAAAGGCTTCTCCAACGGGAAACTTTTTGGATTTACTATTTGAACACAATGTCTCCTTATGGTCTTAATGAAGATTTTGACATAAAGCCATTCTTATAATGAATGGCTCTGTGTCATGTATATGTCATAATATAATGTGTATTTATGTAGCCTATGTATTTGGTTGTGGATTTATATATATATGACATCATGTATATGTGAGTATGCACTGTTTCTTGGTAGTTAATTGCATGTTTCTGACTACATTGTAGGAAGTTATGTGCATATGGAATTGATTCTTGTGTATGTTGATTGTTTTATCCATGCAAGTGTTCTCTTAATTAAGTAATGAGTGGGGTTATTAGGCTTGTTTAGACCCAATCAAGCTAATTGAAATCACGGGGTGGGTCAGATTGTAAGGCCTATATAACTCTGTATCAAATGTGTTTTGCTAATTGCCTGAAGAAGACCCAGTAGGGTCGAAACGTTGCCTTTTTTATTAAAATATGGGAGTAAGTAGCAGTGTTGCGGACATTATAATCTTTTCAATTCACTGGATTCTAATTAGGCATGAATATGTGCCAAAAGACTCTTTATACAATGCATCATACATTTCATTATATCCTCAATTCCCTAAAAGTCATTCAAAAGACATTTCCATCTACTCCACTGTTAAACATGTTGCTGGCAATTATTCTTAACATTGTTAACATAGCAGTGGCTTTATAATGGCAAAATGTAAACTAAAATAAAAGTGACATCTTAAAATGCATAAGTTTAATAATACTCACATGCTGCCCTTGTGCAAACTTTATGTTCTGAAACCGCAATATGTCGAACTGGATCTGTTGTTAAAATAAGAGACTGGGGTTAGTTCAGCTGGTCATGTGATCTCAATATGTCTGCCCCCATGAGGAAACCCACTCCGTGTTGAATAAACTTTTATGCAACAAAAATATGACTGGTCTTGTCATGTCATATAAGTGAACATGATTTTAAACATTTTGTAAAGCACTGCTCATACATAAAACATCTCAATAAAGCAAAATTAATTAATGCACATTTGAAGTCTTGGCAAGAGGCTTCAAAGAAAAAAAAGATATTAAACATTTTCACTATTCTTGCCCTTGAAACATTTTTTTTTATTATTGATACGCTACATTGATCTTTTGTGGGGCACTGTTTGGCACATGGCATTAAGTTGTCATAACAGCCTGTTTATTAAATAATTGAAAATTATAAATAATAAAAATAGTAAATAATATAAAATAACTTACATTTTAAACAAAAAAATGGCCAATTAGTTCGTTTCTTCTCCGTCAACGAAATAGTTCCAAAACAAGCCAAGGCATCAAACTTTGAGCATCACCAAGCAACCACAGGCTAAAATGCGTTATGGAATCACGTAAACGAGTGGAATGGAGCAAAACTGATTTCCCTCACTGCGTTCTGTAATCACTCTGCTCTAGATCAGTCCCTGACTAGATTCATTCCGGATTTTCCATTTCACGTTCCACGCAGACTCCGACAAGTGTGGACAAAAAAAAAGGCTACCAAATGTATGCTGTGGTTTTATTGTCTTTACTAATCTATTCTAAGAAGACAGACTTCATCAAAAATGTTCTAATTTAAGTTTTATAACAACTTGTGCTTTTGTTTAATGTTTTCTGAGAATGAATATAGTGATTTGCAACACACAGCCAAACAAAACACGAAGAACACTAGAACTACGCAGCTCATGATGAGCGCTGGCGTCGTTTTATTTCTCTTGGGTAAAAAAAGTAACCAATCAGTACTCTCTCCACCCAGCGGAGCGTTTTCATTGGCTAACACCAACACACAGATGCCCATACACGTGAGTAAACTTACGTAAGCCCGCAACGGACCAATCAGCGCTCTGAAATCCAACAGGAAGTTGTGTAGTTGCGTCGCTATTTTTCACTGTTACTCGTGTTTTGTCTAACCCAAGGGGAAAACAAATCTAACTGACTCGTATTATTTATACTTTGCAACGTTTCGTTTTCACTCCTGCAAATATGAAACATAACTCCAACGTCCCCGCATTTCTCACCAAGCTTTGGACCCTCGTCGAGGATTCGGATACAAATGAATTTATTTGCTGGAGCCAGGTAAATAAAAGCAAAAGACCTAACGTAAATGTTAGCATTCTGGCTTAGCATTCAGTGACACCGTTGTTTGTTATCCGGGACCTGTGTGATCAGTTGTTTATTATGATGGATGTATGTCAGATCATAGATATGATAGAGTGCTGTCTGTGATATAAATGTTTGGAGTCGTACCATTAACTTAACAGTTAATTGTTTTTCATTCCATTTTTTTTCCACTTATTGATCAGTAAGGTGAATCACTATTCTTTAGTTGTTTAGACGATGTCCAATGTTGCAATTAAATTAATCCTATGTGCATTGATTTGATTCGATATATAAATTAATTATGTTATGGTATGCTAATCTAATTATTTTCGTTTCTTTGTGAAGTCTGTTTTCTTTCGTTAACAAGGCTCTTATTTCTCTTTATAGGAAGGAAACAGTTTCCTTGTACTAGATGAACAAAGGTTTGCAAAAGAGATTCTTCCAAAGTTTTTTAAGCACAACAACATGGCCAGTTTTGTCCGACAGCTCAACATGTGTAAGTGGTTTCTTCACAAAATCTCCTCCTTCCTCATTGTTTGTCTGTAATCTGAAGTCAATGTTTGTTTCTTTGTTCATTTTCCTTACAAACAGATGGTTTTCGGAAAGTAATGCACATTGATGCAGGCATAGTGAAGCAAGAGCGGGATGGACCAGTTGAATTCCAGCATCCATACTTCAAACATGGTCAAGATGACCTGCTAGAGAACATCAAAAGAAAGGCAAGACATCTTCATGTTGAAAATTAAGAAATATGAAAATTAGTTATTGTCTTTTTATGCATAGAAGACCTGTAAATAAGTTGCAAATTTGCCGTGGTTTGATTTAAAATTGTTTTGCTGTTTAAAAAAAATCTGAATTTAAGATTAAGTTGATTGTTGTTATTATTGATATAGGTGTCCAATGCACGGCCCGAAGAGAGCAAAATAAGACAGGACGATCTTTCTAAAATTCTGACAAGTGTTCAGAATGTCCATGAGCAGCAAGAATCCATGGATGCTAGACTTGCCACCCTGAAAAGGTAAAGAAATACTCTTTTAGAAGCATAATCTATGCTTGTGCTTTAAATGATCCTGTATTAGCTCAATTTATCTGTGTGCATTTATCCAGAAGTTAAGGGAACGGACTGATTATTCACTAGTTGTGCTTAAAAATGCCCTGCACGACTAATGTCATTACCGTTTAAACGGAAATTTTACAACCGAGTAGTCTATGATTTTGTTTTCCGCTGCAGATATACATGACTTTTCAAGATATATTCATTTCAAGATGTGACAGTAACATGACGTTAATATAAGCATAGCCTTTGTAAAAAAACACATTAAATGTGCAAAAGGGAAAAAAAATGGTAAATGACTAGTATTTTTCAAAACGACTAGCAGCAGTATCGTTTAATCTAGTCGTATCTAACCGATTCGGCTAGTCTCACACATCCCTAAAAACCACTCGGAATATCTTAGCAACTACAACAACTTTTCTGTACTCTTTTCCTCAGAGAGAATGAGGCTCTTTGGACGGAGCTGTCAGACCTCAGACAGAAACATGCACAGCAACAGCAGGTCATAAAGGAGGTACGTTCTACCTGTGCGCTACAGTTTTGCAACCAGTGCAATAGGCCGTATTCACATGACGTCACGCAACTTCCGTTTTGACACGAAGCGGTGTATTTCTTACTTCCGTCCGCATAGTGGAATACTAGCACCACTCAAATGGAGAACACCCAGTATTTCTATATCTTCCACAAATACAGTTCGAGGATGACGTCAGCTGCATACTTTTGTCTACATTCACGGTGAGGCGTTTGCCAGATCCCAAAAGAACTTACCGATCGGCGAGATTTGCCGCTTGAAGTCGAGGGAGGAGTTGAAAATGGAGCACTGAAGTCGTGCTCTTTTCTCACAGTGTTGTCTTTAACAGTTGATTAGATGTATTTGTCAATAAACACGTTTTAGACGTTTACATGTAGCAACATAAAGGCTTTTCATTCAATATTTTATGTACTGCTTAATTCAGCACCTGTATGTACAAGAATAAAGGACGACAGTTTAAGGTTTTTCATTTCAGTTTTATTTTGATAAGCATGACATAACATAAATAAATATTGATATTTTTAATATTACAATAAATATATTTTTACGTGAGGACTTTTTAATGTTATAAAAACATGAATATTTAACATGAAATGTGATCAGTCATGAAATAAGTAATTGTTAATTGTCCATAGTTCTATGGCTTAAAAGTCCTTGCAATGTTTCAAAGCTTAACTTTAGTCATCAAATGGATAATATTGGGTTTCCTTTCAGGCAACTTGCATTAATGGATGTTAAATTTGCCATGTAACATGAAAATCTTAATATGAATAAAATATGACTCTGTCCATGTCATTTTTCCCATAGTAAAAAAAAACAAAAAACATTAGTCGTCGTTTGACTTTTTATTGCAGAACAAGAACGTCGCATACACAGAAATATACAGAGGATTTACACCGTATACTCACTGTTACAGCCATAGCAGCATCGAATGAAATAACATAAAATGAAAGCATAGAATGTGTTCAATCTTTTCTATGTCTTACATAATTTAGAATCTTAATATATTACATCAGTTTAAAAGGGTATGGAAAATGATCTAAAATCTTAAAGGGATATTTCTGTCGTCATTTACTCACCCTCAAGTTGTTTCAACCCTGTATGAATTTCTTTCTTCTGCTGAACACAAAAGAAGATATTTTGAAGAATATGGGTAACCCACATGGGCCCCATTGACTTCCATAGCATTGACTTTCAGTATCAGCATGTAACAGTGTGAAACCAATGTACAGGCTTGAATTCTAATGCCACTTTTTGCATTGCTCCTTCTAGCTGGTGCAGTTCATCTTCACATTGGCTCAGAACAATCGTTTGTTAAATTTGAAACGCAAAAGGTAAGACCAAGAAGTATGTGCCTACATCTAACAAAAGTACACTACCACTGTTCAAAAGTCTGGGGTCGGGGTTTTTTTTTTTGTTTGTTTGTTTTTTTTGAGAGAGAGAGAGAAATTAATACTTTTATTCAGCAAGGATGCAAGTATCCTGGAAAATCCTGTTTGGTTTTTACCAACAAACAAAAAAACACCAATGATAATAATAAGATATTTGCATATTACAATGATATCCATAGGGTCATGTGACACTGAAGACTGGAGTAATGATACAGAAAAATCAGCTTTTCCATCACGGGAATAAATGACATTTTAAAATGTATTCAAATAGAAAGCATTTATTTTAAATTATAATGGAATTTTATAAATGTACTGTACTTTTGTTCAAATAAATGCAGCCATGATGAACGTAAGGGACATCTTTCAAAAATATTTAAAAATCCTACAAACCCCAAACGTTTGAACAGTAGTGTATTTAAACATATTGTTTACCCTTGCCTTTTTTTGATCAAGTATCTTTGCTATTAAAGATGAGAATTTTTAAGTTAATTAATTAATTTCCAATTCCTTAAGGATTCTGTTAGTTGTTTTGAGAGAGAAAGAATTGATTTTTTTAATGTAATTTTATTTTTGGACTTTATTTCTAATAAGTTAAAAACATATGTTACCGTATTATTAATAAGCACCTTACTTGCTGTCTGATTACAGGCCGCTTGCACTGAACAGTAATGGAAAGAAGTCAAAATTCATCCACCAATTCTTTGAGGAATCCATGGACCACAGCAAAGTATGTGTAGAAGCATCCGTGAGCGATTTGGTTCCATTCACTTTATGTCTCTTCTTGCTCGAAAGAAACGTGCTGTTGAAAATCAGTTAATTTGTTACCGTAATGTAACTATTCATTATCTTGCGTTTTTCTCTCTTGGTGAGATTTAAGGCAGGGTTCACTTTGTGTGTCCTGCCCCTGGATATGAACCTTAAATTGTGAGAGTCACCGTCAGTTAAATGCACTTTGGTGGGGGACCGATTTATTTATATAAACATGATATTCCTCATTAATATTGAAACTAGGAAGATCTGTTTATCAGAGACTTATCCCGTGCCTTCTCTGTTAGTCCGCAGTGAATGGACTCAATGGACTACAGAACAATTCCGACATTTCTGAAGACGTCATCATCTGTGACGTCACAGACGAAGATCCAGAAGTTACAGATGGCCTATCTGTACCGGTTGACCAAGGGTAAGTATTTAGAAGTTGATTCAAACAGTTGAACCTCTAGTCTTTTGCAGGAGGGATATTAGAAATGAGTGTTCTTCTCAATTTCCTACAGGGATGCTGAAATCGTGGACGTCGCACATGAAAACAGCCCGACTGTAATAAGCGACAGCACAAACGGCACTGTAACAAATTCAACCACTCAGCAAGAAGCAGTACCCAAAAGCAGCCCTGACATTTCACAGACTGATATTGCTCTGCAACTGAACAAACCTTCAGGTCTAAGTTTAGAGGATCCAGTAAAGCTGATGGACTCCATTCTCAGTGAAAATGGCGCCATTTCACAAAACATCAACCTTCTTGGCAAGTAAGTCGGCTTAAGTTGCGCATATAAAATATAAGGAAAGCTAAGATTTAAAGTGCCCCTATTATGCTTTTTTAAATGTTACCTTTCATGTAGTGTGAGACATAGCTGCTTCTGAATGTAAAAGACTAACCCTAACCCTGTAAAAATGAGTCGTCAGCAATTCCAGTTTCATTTCCTGTTACATCCTTATGTAACAATGTAAGAAGTGTGAGATTTTAACCTGCGCTAGCATGCAGATCCGACAAAGCATTTGCTTCATTGATTATCTCTCCGTGTGCTAAAAGTTTGCGGTCACAACAGACTGGGCTATCTGACCAATCAGAGTAGATTGCAGAAAGGAGAGGTTTAGGGAAACTTCATCTTCGAACAAATAATTATGGGCACTTTAATATTCATCATGATGAGCTTCTAATTAGCTATTTTTAACAAAAAATGGTTTCTTGCTGTACATTTTGAGTAAACAAATGTTATTCTAATAATTATAATTTAGTATCTGTAAGTGTGACTTTTTACCTCAATTTTAACCTTTTCCTCATATTGACTTAATATCTTATAATTTATAATTTTTTTAACAATATTTTTTCCCCCCTTATGTGGTGGAAATGGGATTCCTTTCATATTAAACTACCAAATAATTGGTTCAACAACAAAAAAAATCAAGCTCTCTCTCTAATTTGTTTTTTTGGGGGTTTTTTTGACCGGTACTTCTGCTTTAAGCATATTTAATTATTATTTCAGATTGTATTATTTTTTGACAGGTACTTCTGCTTTAAGTATTTATTATATTAAAATATTTAATATTTCATTGTAAATTAAATCACTACAGAGTAGAGTTGATGGACTATCTGGACAGTATTGACTGTAGTCTGGAAGACTTCCAGGCCATGCTGTGTGGTAAACAGTTCAGCATCGACACAGATATCTTAGAGGTATGTTTGGAGATTCCGTAATCTCTTTGTGCCTTGTGTACTTTTTTGGGGGGTGAAAATGTTTAAGAATTTTTAGTGACGCATCATTCAGCTGCTATAATTTAACATTTCATGATGACCTGTTGAATTTTATCCTGTGTTGTCATATTTTTGATAAAGCTTTTTTTTTTTTTTTTTTACAGGAAACTGGAACAAAAGAGAACATCATCAAAGCCAACAAAGGGAAGTCTGAGCCTGAAGACATAGGTAATTGTTGCATAATTCTCTGTAAATCAAAATCCTCATTTGTGTGCCATCGCTGTGCTGCAGCATGTCGGTTTCTTCATTCAGATAAGCAGCTGATCCAGTACACGACCTGCCCTCTGCTGGCCTTCCTGGATGGATGCACCCCTCTGGCCCCATCAGATTCTGCAATTGAAAACCTAAGCCTGCCTCTACTGCCCCAAAGCCCTGAAGAACCCACAGACCTGTTGGACGAGGCCCTGGAGATGAAGACGCCTCGCAGCTCTCTGATCCGTCTGGAGCCCCTCACAGAGGCGGAGGCGAGCGAGGCCACGCTGTTTTACCTGTGCGAACTGAACTCTGACCTGTCATGTGTCGACACGCCACAGCTTGATATCTGAAAGCGAATTAGCATAGAAAACAGGGACCGGACCTTTTTGTAAATATTCTTCAAAATGATGATATTTATTTGCCAGAATATTTGTTTTTGGTACCATCTATCCATGAGTTTGACATTCCTTCATTTCACAGATTTATTTTTTACTGTTCACTACCTGATAGATACAGATACTGTTCACTTGATGGCATCCTTTCCACACTCTACATCAGGAGTTTGGGCTGCAGCTATGTTGCTGGTTTACATTGCAGCTGTTTTGTGAAGCACGTGTTTTCCTGTGTTGTTATTGAGCAGTTCAAAAAAATGTCATAGCTATCCTTTCATGTATATGGTATAGAAGTGCCTGCCTGATATCCTAATGTCACTATTATTAGACGTGAAGACTTATGGTTAGTCCCATAATGTTGGGCAATATACAGTGATTTCTTGTTACCGTGAGCTTTTTCATTATTAACTTTGCAGTAGCATTAAAGCAACTCAAAGGTCAATCCAGGAGTGTTTTTGTTTTTCAAAATGAGCCGAGTTGAAAATATAGATTTTAGCGAACCAATATTGGTCCTATCCTTTAGTCTATATTATTTTTATTTGATGCGTGAATAGAACTTAACAAACCAAGGTTTTTTCTATACAATAAGCTTTGTTACTTTTGATAAGAAATGATTTTAAAAATATATATAGATATTCTGACATTTTTGTCATGAAATTCAAGTATTAAATACTGTTTTGACGCTCCTGAATGGCATGGCGCCTTAGTTCCAGCGAAGTAGCATCACCAAGCGCTCTTGAAATTATCATTTTTAAATTCACTACTAGCTATAGGACAAAAAAACATGAATGAACATCAGAAGGCTTGGTTGAAAGATAATGTACAACTTACTGAAATGCCTTATCTCATATAATCGTGGAAAGCCTAAACACTAAATTACCTCAGGAAATACATTCATAGCTCCTTAGATAGCAATTTTCAAACTCCACTCAGGACATAATTGGGTTTTAAACCTTTAATAAGACGAAATTGAATTATTACAATGCACGTCAAAAGGCAAACAATAACACTGACATCCAAAAACAAAAAAGAAGGGGTATGCAACTACTGGCATCAATAAAATTACCATTATGCCTAATACAATGGATGATAAAGTCATCTATTAAAGTTTTATCAGCAAAGATAAATTCAGTGCAAAACATCGTTCAACACACACATTGGCTACAAGCATAAAATTAGTATTGCGCCAAACAACTAACATGTGCAAGTTGCAAAGGGTTAGCACTGTTACAGTCAATATTACAGTCATATGTTCATGGTGCAAATAATGGAGAAGCGAAAAGTATGTCAAAATCTACAATTGCCTGTAAATCTTTTCAAATGCTAATTCAACACTGTATAGCCTACATTGTGCGTTCTATAGGAAACTATGAATGTCATGACTTATGGGAAAACATTACCTGCATTTTCACTACTCTCCACAAATAACTTAAGATACATTTGATTTATTTTTTAAACCATACAGAGATTATTTAACAAGGTTACATTATCCTTAGTATTGAAGAACACACATTCTTAAAGGAAATATTAACATCACATCACAGGCAACCCAAGCCGTGTTCTTCATTTTTTGTGTGTGTTTGTGTGTCTCTTACATGAAACAAATAAACACCTACATAAAAGCATGCTAGATAAAAAAAAAAAAACTCATGTAGGGTTAGCTGAATGAACAAAGCACTCACAGTATTTACATTTAAACCCTCCTATCCCTATACATGTGGATATTCACAAAAGTAATGGCGGATTCTAATTGCAAGCTTTTATTTCCATCCTCTCAGTCGAAGTCACGGTTGGTGAGGACCAGTGGAGCCACCAGGGTCCACACGTACAGAGAGATGCAGATCCAGCTAGAGGTGATCTTCACCCACACAGAGGGCCACTTGCTGGTCATGGTCTCATAGGTGGAGTCAGGGCTAAAAAAAAAATCAGAGTTTATTAAAATCAGAGATAATTCTGTAAACTTTGTCAACCATAACCATTCCAATAAATAGTGACACACCAAAATGGCAGATAGCAATAACTGACCATTATTGTTATGGCATTTCCCAATGGTTTTATTACTAGAACAGCTTTCATTCAAGTTATTCATTTTAGTTTAAAAAAATAAAAAAGTTAAAAATATACAAACACATACCTGCCAACCTAGAAGAAATTTTATGAGTACAACCGCGCGTTGTAAAAATTTTACTTTTATGAGTACAATTTTTGTCATTATTTTGAGAATGCAAGACACACACAGACACATGCCTATCTTCATAATTCTAGTTTTGACCTCTAAAGGTTTTTTAGTTTGACACAAATACAAAATTTAACTTGCACTGCACTCAACACTATTGTTTTATTCATGATTGATATTGTATTCCATATAATCTGTGCTGGTCAATTAGTCTAAAATTAAGAAACCCCTAGATAACAGTCACAAAAAAAAACAAAAAAAAACAAAAAAAAACGGTGTGTAGCCTACATGTTATCATTTTAAATTGGCTACTTAATTTATTATTCCAATATACAAATATGATATTAAATCCCACAGGGAAAAGGGCTTATATTTGTGACGTGCTATTTTGACATTTGGACATTAGGCTACAAACAGGACACGCATTAGCTGAATAAACTTTAGCCAATCCAAACATATTTATAGAAAACAGTTAACAATGAATAGACAGGAGTCCTGTCACATGACCAATAATATAAGTTTTCGAATAAGACGAATCCGACATAATATAATGAGGGCTGTTAACAGTAAAGCGTCCGTCATTAACGAATTTTAAAAACACGAATGGATAATACAAAAAGCTTTGACATTTTGACATAAAAAAACACAAGCAAGACCTTTGCCTGTTAATTTTTATTTTATAAATATCTTCTCTCTCTGTGTGCGCGAGTCTGTGTTTGTGAGAGAGCTCGCGCAGCACTGATACATGATAGGCTATCATACAACGGTCATTTTTAATCCACAAATTCACCAACTAACTCGCTAGTTTTCATACAAAATAAATATGTAACATAATTCGGTACTTTAGTTAACATAATACATAACGTAACACATGCGATACGTTTCTCAACACTGATAATGAAAAAATAAACGCCTGTTTCTCCGGATTCGCGCTTATCAGTCATCCACAAATCACAGCACTTTCATAATCACTAAGATATAGCGATTTCAATTTTATTAGGGCCCAAGCCTTGAAAAGGCGGCGATTTATTGTTCAACATTACTTGAGTATTTTATAATTTGCATGGCTGAATGTCTTCCTCTTATCTGAGTTACCACGAATGAATTACGGAGTATTTTTTTTAAAATAATCCATGCGATGACCAATCCCGTTTGATGACCAATCCATTTTAAAATGAACTCAAATACAATATTTCAACTTTCCACATCCACCCCACCCCAGCCCGTTTACCTTCAGGAGTTAGAAGTACCGTGACTGTAGGCCGACTGTCCTCGCTTAAATCAGTCAGACCGCGGGCGCGTGGGAGTGGAGCGTGGATCGAGCGGGATTCTTTATTGGTGTCGATTTTCAGTGTCTTTTTAATTATAGGACTTACGCATCTGTCAATCATCTCCGCTTGCAATGTGGGGAATGAACCCAGCGCTATGATTGGTCGAACTCTTCTTCTTTTGCTGTTGCTTGATTTGAGGACTGCGCGTGCAAAGAGGCGTCACCAGGTTTTTGCGTAGTTTAGAGTGACAAATCGTACCAGCGTACTTTGAGGTCAAAATGCGTGCCCGCTACGCAAAATGCGTACATGTTGGCAGGTATGCAAACACTACTGTTCAAACATCTGGGACCAGAAACATTTCTTATTATTTTTATAAATTTTATCCAGGATTTTTTTAATCAATAGAAACTTTAAAAGAACCACATTTATTTATTTATTTACATTTTAAATGTCTTAACTGTCACATTCAACCAATTAAAAGAGTTCTTGCTGAATAAAAGTAGTATTTTCTTTCAAAAAAAAAAAATCTTAGTCACTCTAAACTTTTGAACGGTAGTGTATATTTGAGTATAATATAAATAAAATTATGTAATTATACAGTCATTATGAAAATGGTTATAGACAATAAATGTTAATATATATATATATATATATATATATATATATATATATATATATAATAAATAAGTTAAAATATTAAAAATATTACTACACCTATATTTTTATTTACAGAATTTTATATGTGAAATTAGACAAAAACATTATAATATAGGAATCCTGTCAGGAAAAGAGTTTTTTTTTTTTTTTTTACTTCTAATATTGGCACATACCTGTACCAGTTGGTCAGTGTCATCATGATGTACAGGGAAGCCAAGAAGAGCATGAAATGGAAGAAAGAATAGCTGTAGGTGACTCCATCCTTCTCGTTGTCAACGGCACGGTTGGAGCCATCGCCGACTTCAAAGTTCTCTGGAGCGGGACCATCCTCGATCAGAGCAGACTCGTCGCTGGTGAGGGTCAGTTTGTTCACCTGAGCATTGCTGGAGTTGCGGATACTGAGGAAATAAAAGGAAATTTGACTGCCGTGTTGAAAAATAGCGTCAAAAAGGCAACATATCTTTTAACAAATGTCAAGCTTTCGTACCTGGAGTACAGCACACACATCAGGAACAAGATCAACCCCACAATGCCCTGGGCATCCCACCATTGAACAACACGGTCCTGACCAGCAGGGCTGGTGCTGTTGAGGCCAATAATGCCAAGCAAGCTTGGGTTGCATCTGCGTTCTTTGGGAAAAGAAAATCGTTATTTTAGACCGATTTTATGAACGACAGAATATCTTCTTTTAGACAAATCTTTCACAATGCTTACCAGGTTCATTGGTCATGGCAGACCAGGTCAGATACATGGTGTACAGGGTAACAATGGAGGACTGCAAGAGACCAGACCTAGGCTGGGACTCCTGGAGGAGAGAAAATAAAGATTTAATTAATTAAATTCGATGCTCACCTGAAGCATGTATTAGGGGTGGCACGGTTCACAAAACCCACGGTTCGGTTTGTATCACGGTTTTAGGGTCACGGTTTTCGGTTCTGTACGGTTCTTGATGTTATTTTTTCTTTTAATCTTTAACACTCCAGAAATGTACTTCAGCATATGATATATAGCTTAATTATCCACAATTTAGGATACAGTATTAAAAAAAAAATTATATCATGCAATCATGCACAAACTGAATTTGACTTGACTTTAAGCACATTATTGGGACCATCTCCGAGGAAAGCTAGGTGAGATTTTGATACAGCAAGAGAGAAGACATTGATGACATGCTTTTCGTTTATTTGGCAAAAAAAGTAGAATGTGTATCACTATCTCTACAGGAACTTATGTGCATTTTTAGCACGCAAAGATTGAAATGAACTTGCCAAACTGCCAACTTAAGTGTAAAAATTGTATATTTTAAAAGAAAAAGAGAGGAACTCTTAAAACTGTCTT